TTTACTTATTTTGTATCATTTACTCGGCATTATACTTTGTGTATTCTCTCTACTTTCACATGTTATTTTTCATGCAGTATTAGGTTCACACCTCGCCCTATTTTGCTTCTGCATTTTACGACTCCATTTGCTTCACTGGCCTTGTTATTGTCGACCACACCCCTTTCCACCCCCTTTGTCCTCCCTTGGGATACCACGGTCGTGTAGCATTCGCATTATGTGCCATATAGGCAAAATTCCTGTTATTGAGCCGGACACGTTGTGCTGCCGCGCAATATCCCGCCATAAAATTCTCGGATCCATAGAACCTTCGTTCATTCGGGGTAGGTTCAAGCTCGGCAGGTACCGTCGTAATGATACTGTCTTTTCTGTCCTAAGGTTGTGGTGTTACTGCATATTAAATACTCAAGGTTGTCCTTGAGTTTTTGGCCTGGTTGGTGGACTCGGTGAAATGGTTGCAATCGTGGATGACTGCTTATTGACGACAGGTGAGCGCCTGGTTGTCGCAACACTGTATACAGCTCATACGCTCTTTGCTGTCTTCTCCCTCGGAGCGCTGAGTTAGACACTTGCTATGACTCAGATAACAGTGGCGGCTGGCATGGTGACCTGTGCCACCCAACTTCGTTCTTTCTGCCTGGGAAGCTTGATGTTAGTAGACCGGTTACTGGTTTTACGTTTCACCATGGCTTGCCTTTCGTCTCTTCGGCCCGATCAGTGGGGCCGACGGCCCCTTTTGATCGCGTATGAACTGTTGGAGCAAATCTATGTATGGACATCATAATCTATGTATGGGATCAAGAGCCCTGGGTTCCAGCGAACTGTCTTTTTATGACAGCAAACAATAATTTACTTTTTTTACCTTTCCATATTGTAGATTCTGTATTATCAAAATGTTTTTCAAACTAGTGAAATGTGTTTGAGTCATTTGCACACAGATTTGTTTTCCGTTGTAAGTCAACAAATAAGGTTATGTAGTAGCCTAAGGATAGCTTAAGAATGTCATGGTGGCCTAAAGATATGAAATGACGTGCAACGTTATAGGTATAAGGACAGCAGTGAGTTCCATAAAAAATTCGAGTAAAGACCGAAAGGTTATTTATATGTATTATAAAAAGATCTGCTATGATTTATTTTAGAGAAAACCTGCATGAGATACTGGAACCGCCTTTTGTAAAAAAAAAAAAAAAAAAAGGATATATGACATTATGTTATTAAGTCGATTTATGGTTTGAAAATTATGTTCCTATCAAGACTTATAATTCATAAAATCATTGGATGCCCGATATTCATGTCAGTGGGAGAAGTAAATAATTTTTCTTCTTAAATTTTGTAAGAAGGTGCCCAGAGCCAAACCACTGACCCAGGTTTGAAGCTCAAATAAGTCTTCGAGGAACACAGCAACTCGAAGTATATCGAATTGTCTTCTCGAGGAAATGGTGGCAGCGGGAAAAGTACAAAACGTCGGATTTTGTTCCTAAGTGCATTCGCGAATGTGGAGCTGATCGTATTGTCGAAGTTGCTGTCTAGGTACTTGGTGCGATAATACTGAAAGTCGTATTGTCGTCACAGATACCTAAACTTTTTGGCAAATTATAAGGGCACAGTGCAACCCACTCCTAACTGTTCTCGAAGCCATTTTAGTCATCAATCCAGGCATGATTATAACTATAGAAACAGATTTTACAGGAAAGATTCAAGTAGTTCATAAACCCTTTCTTTCTAATTTTGAAGTTTTTCAACTGAGATTTTTGAGTTACACTGAAAATGTTGAATCTCGACAAAAAGAATCACTTCTTAATAACGCTTCTAAATACTTTTGGTTTTCGAACTGGCACGACAGTCGAGTCGACAGAATTTTAACCCATGATGTAAATATCAAAATAACATTCCTTAAACAATTTTTCCTTTTTGTTTTAATATTTAATTTAATATGTTCTAATATTGCACCCTCTAACTTATTTTTTTATATCAGGCAAGTAACTCGCCTGCCCCTCGGCATGAATCTGACAGCTAAGATATTTTTATAAATTATAATTTCTTACAAAAGGTAGTGAAGAAATATATATGAAATGGTAAAATATGTTCAGTTAAATGTTTTCGGTTGCTCAGAGGAAAGGTAGATAATCTTCTAAAACCTTCTATAACTCTCCAAAATTTTGAAGAAATTTCCATGATTGTAATTCAGGGCATGTATTTTATCTAACATTATTGAAATCACTCTGTCTATAAAATGTCAGCTACAAGGTTAATCTAACTTATGAACAAACAAGATTGCTTTATACGTCATGAATTCAAGCATGGTTCTCGGCGAAAGTAGTGGAAATTTAGTGCATATTGCTAAAAAAGGATATGATCTCTTAGAAGATATTGAAGAAATGGTTCATTTCTGGCAGGACAGTAACAATCGTTCTGATAAATCTGATCATAAACTTCAAGCACAAGAACAAATTCATGCACTTGTTTGATAAATGTATGAAGACATCTGCGTATGCTTAAGCACTGAAATATTTATGTCTATAAATTCGATTTAAAAATTTTCTTGCCACTGTGTTGCATGATATTATTGACAAGATAGGTCTGACGAAAGTAAATGAAAGAATAGCTTCACAAGGTTTGACCAGAATAATATCTTTGGAGGCAATCTCTTGACCAACCTGTTTACAAAGGTAAATCTGACAAGAGTAATGATAAATTTCTCATTTTCTGAAATATTCTGGTGTATTACAGAAGAGAAGCAAGTATTTCTTGAAGGGAATGCTATATGAAACATGGGACACATGTTGGCGATTTATCTAGTAAAGGAAAAAAAGGCTAGATGTTATAAAGTTTAATAGTTTATAATTATGCAATTAATCGTAGTTCTAAAGTGCGTTGCTTAATAATTAGACAGTAAGTTCTAAAGTCCGTTACTTAATAATTTTTCAGACGTGCAATAAATTTCAAAATTAGGTTATGGTCTTAAAAAATCTGGAAGAGCGATTGAAATAAGTTAATATGAGTTTATCAGTGACAGCTTAATAATGAAATTTGGTTTTCTAAATCTTTTGCAACCATTTGGCCTGTTCATAATATTTTAACTTTTCTACTTAACACTGTTTGAAAAGGCACCTCTCAATCACATATTTCAATCGTGCATCCTGTGCACAGTTTTCCATAATGCAGTTTATGATATTATGCATTCCCAGAGATTACCAGCTATCCCATCAAAAGAACTAAATATGATGCACTGTGTCGTACATTTTTTTTATCCGCTCTCTGTTATCATTTTTTCAGTCCTTTCCAATCAAGCTTGACCATTCAAATACTAGCACCTTCAAACCTATCAATCAAAGCATTTTTTGCCATGGTTCAACTGTGATTGCAATGCAGGTCATTGGTTTCCGTCCGTCCTTTCATAAAACTTCGTGAATCATTCTCCTCACGTACTGGTGTCGTCTATACACACAATTTCTTATTTGCTACGTATTCATTACTCTTCCAACACACCAATTTTCAATGAATTTTTATATAAGGAGTTTAATTTATACAAATCTATACTACATTTCGAATTTAATTGCTGGATTATATTTCAAGCTGCATCTTCAGTTTTTATTGCTGTAAACAGTTTACTATTTATTTAAACTCACTTTATATCCTATACTTTTTTTTTCATCTGAATAACATGTTGAGCTGTCAGAAGCAGCCCTGACTCCAACCCTTCTTCACGACCTAAGCCATCATTATATTCGACACTCTGCATATATTAAATCTATTAATAATTTAAAGCGACATATATCTTTATTTAGATGTCACTCATGAAAACAGTTCAACTGATGCCTCTAAAAATTGGTGGTTGCGTAACTGGTCTACACAGGCTGCCGGGCCTGATTAAAAAGGAAACATAAATATTTCCTTCTAATCAGGAAGTCGCCATTTCTTCCAGAACTTTATATTTTCATGCATCCAGCATTTATTTTTATAGATATATTAAAGTTCACATGTCTGTTATTAAAAAGCATAATACATAAATGGCTATTTGTGTTAATGTTATGTATTAATTTAGAGAAAGCCAACGTAATTTCGCATTATATGGAGCTTTATTTTATTTCTTTCGTGTAAGCCAACGGGCAGTGCTTTTAATTTACAAAAAGAAGATAAGATATTTTGCAAAACCCAACGCATGTGGAATCTGTTGAATTCAGAGGTGAGTTCAAAATAAATTTAAAAAAAAAAAAAACTGTGCGTAACAGAGGTGTATATATTTGCATCGGAATCGTCGTTTTTTGAAGGCCGTTGCATTAGCATTGGGGTACGAAGTGACCTCTAGTGGAGAAAGGCGGAGGGCATTGTGTTAAGGGAATTTAGGTCTCTGTGGCGATTCTATTGTCCCCAAACTAATGTCTGGGTCACGTGGCCTATCAACTGCAAAGGTCAGGCTCGCCAACACCATAGTTTCCTGGTCTTTCACGCTGTTTTTTAATTCATTTTCATTTTTTGTTGCTTCGATCGGAAATTTTTCAGTGACGCATTTCGCAGGTCTTCATACTCGAATTACTGTTACCAATGAGAATCATATGAATAGTTAAATGAAATTATAGATGGTACTAACTATTCATTGTTATAGTACATCTCTACGTTGAAATACTATGTGTGCTATAACAGGCTTGGCTATGCCTTAGAATTATTAAGTGAGGAACTACCTTAACTTAATAAGCCATTTAATTTAAATAGTCTCTCTTACATCATACATTTCGTCTATTACAAATTGCCTTCTTAATATATATATAAATTCTCATTATTGCTCAAGTCTATAAAATCAATTAGTGATTTAAATTATCTATTTATTAGCGAATCTGTTAGGTATATCATTAAATTTGTACTTGACTCATATGTAATGTAATGCAATTAATTGTATCACTGATGTGAAGTTTTCCAGCACGCGTAAATGATTTTATTATATTAAATATCTTTTTAATTTTTTGAGACAGTTTACTGATAAGATATTTGTTTCTTTTCAGGTAAAATTCTTTGCACTTATGTCTTTGAAAGCATATGATACCCGTGATTTTCTTATATACTGCTGAAGCATGGAGTAGACAACCGCCTCCAGACTTTTTTATTCTTTGTATCTAAAACCCTGACATTCAGCGTGTTATTTCGTCTACTTGTAAATTTAAAGGTAAGCTTTCATTCATTTTACTGTAATTTTGAATGTGTAAATCGAGAGTGCGATTCCACTGAAATATTTAATAGTGTAGAGTTATTATGTTAGTTTGAAGCATGAGATGTGAAAAATGTGCAATGCCCTCGCCGGGATTCGAACCTGAACCTCTCGAATACGTGCCGAGTGTGCTACTGTTACACCACGAAGGCATGCTGGAAGAAGAGAGAAAATACCTTATAATAAAAGAAGAAAATTTAATCGATATATTAATAACATGTCTCTCTTCTAAAATTTTACATTAAAAAAATAAAAAGGGAAATTTAAAGAAGTAAGAGTGAGTGAATCTGACTTAAAATTAAGGTGTTAAAACACTTAAAAACTCGTTTCAGTTATAATTAAATAATGGAAACTTATTTATGAAATACAACAGTATTTGTTTACAAAATCCTCCTTTTTAGTGTTTTTTTTTTTTTTTTTTTTTTTTTAATATAATCAGAATTTTGCACACGTGAGTTAATTCACAATTTTCCAGCTTAGTGTTGACGGAAAAAATTTCAGTGATTACAGGCGCACTAAACTTTGTTCATATGCCAATGATGTTGCGGGTGCATGAAATATTATTATGCAAATTTTACCTTAATCCAAATAATCCAGTCTAAAGTTCTGGCTTCTGAGGAAGCTTTCAAACCATGAATTAGCTATTCCAGTTTCCACGGTCAACTTAAAACCATTGGCTTCATTTTCACCTGTAGAACAGTAGACATCCAGGTAGGTGAGCATACGTGAATGTGCAACTAACTCAGCGATATGATTGACCGGATGACAGATTGTGTTTGCGTCTCTTTGATTGGTCGGTTCTTATACCGTCGTGACTCAAAATTGAAAATTTAGAATATTTAGAGAAATCCTTATACTACCTATTTCGTGACGTAGCTACGGCTAGTTGCCAAGCAACGGAAGTTTGGCTTGGGCTAGTTGCGACAGCAAAGCCTTTAGTTCCATTAGATTTGTTCTGATTCCACCATAATAAAGTATCTTGGGGATCATCATCTGGTTCTCTAAAGTTTTCAGATGAACTAGTCTCCTTTCCAGCTAAGAAAATATTTGGGGATGTGATTTCAGAATCAACATAAAATCGATAGCCTGTCTGAGGACGCACGATAGATACAGCAACTCAAAATACGGCGTCGACTCTTTGCATTACCATAAAAAATAATGATTTAATCAAAATTTTCTTTTTGGATTATGTAACGTGGCTAATTATAAGCTTCCGTTAACTACGGAGTTGTCAGTTTTAAATGGTGTAGGTCCTCTGCTTTTATCTGTAAGCCAGTGTCGAACATACGATCGATTGAGTGTGGCCAGAAAAAAATATACATTTTGATCGTCATTATGTATTTTCTCCCTCCTTCCAGCATGCCTTCGCGGTATTACAGTTTGCACACTCGGCCCGTATTCGAGAGGTCCAGGTTCGAGTCCCAGCGAGGGCATTGCTCGTTTCTCATGTCTTCTGTTTCAAAAATAACGAATGACTCTACAATTATATTGATGTCGATTCCATGTTCATGCAGGTTTATAGGTGAAAACTTTTGCAAATCTCATGTTTGGCTCATATCAAAAAATATGTTTTCGTTTCTGTGTATTACTATTTCCACGGCCTAAAGGCAGCCTTCTGGAATTTCTTATTTAATCCTGTATTTATCGGCACCAGATTTCATCTCGCTTCTCTAGTAAGACGTTGCAGGGTTTCAAATCATACTGTAACGTCCCTGTATAATTTATAAAGAAACATTTATTTAAATCATCCCTAAGCAAGTTATTCAAACTGCAGACGTGGTTTTTTTTTTTTTTTTTTTCAATTTCTTGCGTAAATTGCAGTTCTCACATTTAACATAAAGTGTGCTTGACGTAAAGTAATCGTTAATTACCCTCAAACTGCGGTGAAAGTTTTTATTTGAAATCAGAGAGTTACTGAATTTTGTCAGTTATTGACAAACAATAAAGTGTTGTTATACTAATATTAACAATAAACCATTAGTAAAAAAAATATTAAGAAAAATATACGATGTAGACATATGACTTCCTCGTACGGCCTATTAAATTATACACATTTTTTGCTGAACTTCATTGATTTTATTTCCTCTAATTTCACTAGAGGTATATTTCTAATTCAATCAATTAAGTTCTTACTTCGCAGCAAGGCAAAAATACATAAAAACTCAATCATCATTAAAATTGTAAAATACAGAAAAACCTAAAACACTAAATACAGTTAAAAACAATTTTTACAGCTAAAATTAGAGATTTTACTAAAAAAAAGAGCCAATTTGGTCGACGGACACCGTGTTCACTCCTCCTTTTTTACCGATCTTTATCGTACGAAAATCAAAAGGGGAAAATTACGCGAATAATTTAATTTCCGAAGAACGCGGTTAAAGTTAAAACACAACGAATAAAGTATTCATGGATAAATTACCGGTTGCTATCAAAATATTATTTATTTAAAAGAAACCTGCACTGTGCTAAGAATACATAATATTAAAATTGTAATATCTAATAAGATACCTTCATTTTTCCCTGCCCTGTATATTGAATCTTGCCCACTGTTACGGTTGTCAACTGTTACTCCCTATGCTTCAAATCATTTAGTGCTGCTAGAACAGTTGTCTCTGCTATCTGCTATAGCTCGCATATCCTCGGTATCGTCTCCGTTAATGTTCAATCTGGTTTTCCCATACGCAATGATCTTCAGAACCATCAAGAGCAGTTGGTATCCCGCGTTTTCTTGAAACTCTTCATTATTATTGCACTGTCAATCAGTATTATTGCTCTGTCAATCTGTTTTACTGCACTGTCAGTCAGTATTATTGCACTGTCAATCAGTATTATTGCTTTATCATGCACCCAAAATTGCGCTCACTATGTGAACGTATCCATTATAAAATTTAATTGAGCTGGCTTTCTGAACGCCTTGAAAAAGGGGGAAATTAAGCGAATATTTAAAACGTTTTCATAACCTTGTGCCCAAGAAGGCAAAATACATGACGGAGAAAAATAAGTATGTAAATGCGGTAATATTTGATGTTTCCGAGTCAGTTCAGAGCTTTGTGAAAAACAGATTTACATTTTAATAGCTTAAGAATTTTAACATTTCATATATTTATAGCTTGTTATCCTAACGATTTATGTTCGAAATTCCAGAATTTGTATTCTGCTATCACGGCAATCGTGACCATGAGCTTAGGCACGCACGTTTCGAATCAGTATACTAACTAAATACAGTAGACAAACACATGGTTCCTAAATAATTCTTTACCATTTTTTTTTTTTTTACTCATTTTCTCTTTTTACCTTGCTCATTTCCAAGAAAGACAGACTAAAGAAATATAATAAAATATTATAACTGTTCAAAATGATAAAATTCAACAAATGAGTTAAAATATGTTCTTGAATCCCATCAGGTACTTGGGCTGCCAGTGGAGACTCCTTCATAAGAGTGCCCGATCAAAAAGATGCCCGAACAAAAAGATAGATCATAAGAGTGCCCGATCAAAAAGATGCCAGCACACTTGTGCAAGTTGGCCAGTGTTCTAAAAGATGGAAAATGTTCGCACCTTTGTGTAGTTTGGCCACTGTTCGAGAAGACAGGAATCTTCATAAGAGTGTCTTACCATTAATGCAGATCCAGTCTTGTGCACAGCAGTTACTAACTTGAAAAAAGTAACCTTCATTAAAGTGCAGGCACTTTCAGGCCAAGATACACTGCGAAAAAAAATGGACAGTTCTATATCTTCCGTTTTACTGGGCAATTCAAATTCCGTTTTTCATGTCTCGAAAGCGCGACTTGGGATATATATTAGATTTATATATAACATTGTTTCGTTATATATAGCATTTTTAAAAGGGGATCCCTGACATAAAGGTGCTCTTATGAAGGTTGTTTTTAGTCCAAAGGGATTTGAATCCCGAAGGACTATTAGTTTCGTTTTGGCATTTTGCGTCGGACGGATAAATGTCGGTTCACTTTTCAAACTGTTGCCATAAAATGTTAGAGCCCTGCATTATATTTGAAGAAATTAAATAATGAAAATCTGCGTAAATGTATGTATATTTCTCACATTGTCATAAAATAACGGTACATAGAGTCATCGAATTTTGAATAACGTAATCCTCCAACCAATATGAGCATGTGGAAGACCAAATTTGAAATTTGAAATTTGTTTTATGATAGATTTCCTACTTTTTAAAACTTTGACGAATTTTTGATTAACAAACTCAAGGATTTCAAAGCGAGCAATGGCAACGTTGTGCAGAAAAAACATTTTATCTCCAGCGCGTGAGTCTCTGTATCGGAAATTCTAAAGATATGCTCGTTTTAAAACTATTTTGCGATATTGCTGTTGCACTGGATCTTATGGTTTAAGTGCGAGGAACATGATATTTAATAAAGAAAGGTAACACACAAAATGTTAAAAAACGCCCCTTTGGACGTAATTTAAAATCTGAAACATTTCAGTTTTTTTTTTTTTAAATTTAATTTTTTTTTTTTCTTCAGATTTTAAACTGTTCTTAAAGGTGCAGAAATTTATGCAATAAACGTTTTTATTACGGGGCTCAATTTGACACTTTTATAAAGGTTTCGAACAGTGGTCGACCTGCAAAAGGGTACTGGAACCTTTCCAACAAGGCACTGTTATGAATATGTCCCTTCGATCACTTCATTTGCACTTTTATGGATACTGAAAGGATTCTCATATTTTGCCGATAGACTGAAGCCGCGAATCCCTATTAGCTCTCATCCAAACTCTGTTTCCGTAACTTGAAATTCTAACTGCTTTAGAATTAATTCGCATTGGTAGTTACAGTCTTTCTATCATAAGAAAAGCTCTCACCAGTTAGTCTGCAGCTGTCCGTTGCCGTAGAAACGAGCCTTGACCTATTTTCCGTAGGGTTGTCTTGAAGATTTACTTTTCACTTTGCCATCTTGGCGCACTTAGCAAACTTTGTTCCCCCCT